GAAACGGCACAGCTCCTGATACCTCACCTCAGCATCTCCTCTGCCCCCAGGGCCAGTGCCAGGCACTGCTCGCGCTCAGCTGCCCCGCAGTGCTGCCCTTGGTGGACTTCAGCCTCCAGCAGTGGAAATCCAAATCGGTGAGAGGGGCTGGGAGGACGGTGCTGGCACCAGGGTGCCCACAGGGCTGGAGAAGGAGCCCTCAGCTTGGCACAGGCACCAAAAATGCCCAACAAGCTGCCTGTGGGCATACCTTGTGGCACAGGGGGGTGGAGGACCCCCATCCAGACGGAGGATGGGCAGAGGAATGAATTGTGCCCGAGGTCAGCCTGCTCACTGCCTGCTCCCCCAGAACGAGACCAAGCGGCAGGAGATCCTGTGCGACCTGGCACTGCTGCTGGGTGCTGTGGTGGGGGCCCAGGGCCAGGTGACCGAGGAGTGCGGGGCCAGGCAGCTAAGCCAGCTTTACCAACATGCCAACTCCTTCCTCCTGCTCCTGCAGACCTTCAGCTGGGAGGTGAGACCTCCCTGTGCGAGCCAGACCATATTGGCACAGGTGCTAGCTGCGCTGGGCTGGTTACGATGGCATTTGTCACCTCTCTTGTCCCCTTCTCGCTCCTCAGGCAGGACCCTGGGAGCCAGGCTGCTCCCCACGCTCCATGGAGCAGCCCCACATCACCAGCATCTTCCTCACCTACCGGCAGCTGGTGCAGGGCAAGCTGCGCTTCTTCTTCCACGACCTGGCCAAGGACTTGTGCAAGTAAAGCCAGGGGGGTGGCAGAGACCCCCAGTGTGGGGCCCCGTGAGGCTGTGCACCCCCAATCCCAGGTCAGAGCAATCCTGCTGGACACTGAGCTGGGCTCTGGGTGACCAGGAAGGTGCCCACAGGGAAAGGGTTGGCTGCTGCTCCTCAAGCCTTTGGCCACTGTGCGGCCCACAGAAGCAGACAGCAGCAACACCCGTGCGCCAGCGGGCACAGGCCCTGCTCCCACCCAGGCAGACAACCTCTACTGTGAATGCTTTACAATTAAAGAGCTATTTTTCTAGAGCATTGTTTGTGTTCTCCTTTTCCCCCACTGCTGTGGCCCTGGCACCGGGAACGCACACCTCAGGGGCCTCAGAAAGAGGCAGCCCCCTGGGGACACGCTGGGTCTCTCCCCAGTGCCCAGCTCCCTCCCGTGGCAGCCGCCAGCTCTGCAGGGCACACGGGCTCTGTGGGACACCAGACCCCAACTCAGGGATGTGAGCTCCCACTCCTGCACCCGCCTGCCTCTCCCTAGCCCCAGCGTGCACTATGCCCAGAGGGGTGGCAGAGAGAGCCCAGGGCAAGTTTGGACTGTCCCTCCTTTGGGAAAGGGGTACTGGCCCCCTTTGCCACCCACACAGGCATACCCCCTCCCCGCCAGTCTCCTCTCTCAGCCAGCAGAACCAGATCTAGAAAACACATCCTAGTTTAATCAAGAACAAGCCCTGCCTGCCTCAGGATGGCTCCTTAGGAAGCAGTCCGCAGCCCCAAGACAGTCCAGCAGCCCGTGGCCAGAACAAGGGCTGAGCCTGCTTTAGAAGCACAGGAAGGCAGAGGTGGGAAGAGACAGCCAGCAGGCAGGGCTGCAGAGCGCCCAGTACAGTTTCCACTTGGTTGTCAGGCACCTCTCTCTGTGGAAGAGCAGGCTGCGGGTCCCAGCAGGAGTCAGAAGGGCCGGGATGAGGAGGGGGACTGCCCCTTCCTCCCCCAGCGCCGGAGGGGCCAGGCAGCACAGAAGCCAGGGCAGGACTTGGGGTCACAGGACTCCTGTTTCCTCACCAACAGAACATCTCTGGGACAGCCCACAGAGGCAAGAGGTTTCTTAGAAGGCCAGCTTCTTCATCAGCAGGTAAACTCGAGAGTCCACTTCAAACCCATGCAGGTTGTTTGCGTCTCCCTGCAGCCGCATGAGCAGTCCCCCGTAGGACACATAGGCAGAGCTGGGACAGGAGGAGAGGAGGAGTGAGAGTAGGAAATCCCACGGGAGACCTGGGCTGAGATTCTGGTGCCTCCCCCACACCGCCCTGGGGCACCGTGTGCCCCCCCTCCTGCTGACAGACACTTACAGGCGCGTAGCTGCCTCCGTGGAGGTCTCATCCCCTTCGATCCTGTACACCTTGCCATACATCACGTACTCAAACTGGTCTGCCCTGCGATAGGATGGTGGGAGTTCAGAGAAGAGCCAAACCCAGGTGTGCCCCTCAGCACTCTGCCTTTTCCCTTATCCACCCCCAGCTGGGTCCCAGCTGGACCCCTGTACCTGGACGGCCTGTCGTCCGTGGGGTTGTACTCGCCATCATCCAGGGTGCCGTCTTCGTACAAGGTGCTGGCGATAACCAGGCGAAATTTGTCCCCTGGGAGGAGAAGGCAGATGAGTGGTGAGAAGGTGGGAGGCGCAGCCAGAGCAGCAGCAGCAGCCAGAGCAGATCTTGGGGTGGTGGCAAGGAGCTGCCCTGCCAGGTTTGGCATAAAACCCCATCCCTGAATTCAGTTCTCCAACAGGATTGTGAAGAACGAGGAAAAGAACACACTGGATCCTCTGTCTCCTCATTCTTCACAGACACAGGTCACCACAACAGAGAAGACTACAGCCATCAAGACACTACTGCTGGTGTTTTAATGAGACACAGCAAAATATTTGCAGGGAGAGTGCCAGAGAGCCTGTCTGGTCCCTGCAGGTACATGAGACCCTGCAGCACCAGTTCCAGTCCTTCTGTGTTTCGTTTCAGGTAAGACTCTCTTTTCTACCCATTTAGCATATTCAGCCACACAAGCTCATTTCAAAAAGCCTCCCTTAAAGCTTGGCTGCCATCAGCTAAGGCAGTTTTACTACACAGCATCTCTGGGGAACGGCCAGAGGTGAGCACAAACGAATCTTACAGTGAGACTAACCAGAATCCAGCACAGCCCCAGCACAGTGAGAGTGCCCAGCACCTCCTGTGACCTGGGGACTGTGCAGGAGGCCAAGAAAGTCTGAGACAGCTCATTCCTTGTCCACAGCAAACTCAGCCTCCCTCCTCCGAGTACCAGCACATGCCTCTCTAACCTCACCTCATCCCAGCCCATTCTGCACCAGCAGCCTGACAGCTTACCAAGCTCCACGGGGTAGATCTGGATGTTCACGTCCAGGATGAGGTCCATCTTGAAGGACTCACTCTCGCAGTGCAGGCGGGACACTGGGGAGAGCAGCAGAGTCAGGGAGAAGAACAGAGAAGACCCTCAGGGGCTGGGAAGGAGCAGGGTCCTGGGGCCAGGCCATTCTTGTCTCCACTGCACCCTAGGCTGACACCTGAGCTATTGGGGGAAGGGGTGCACAGGATTCGGGGGTGGTTGCCAGAGCCTGGGAGCACACTGAGGTTTGTGCAGGCAGGGAGAGATACACGGTGAGGTGGGAAATGGAACGTACTGGGGGCCACGGGGGTGTGGAGGAGCACAGCAGCTGGGCTGGGGAAACTGGGTGCACTGGGGACCAGCAGCACACAGCGGGGTCGGTGCCAGACGGTGGCAACGAGACAGAACACAGGGGCCACTGCCGGAGGGAAGGACAGAGAGGGGACTGGGACAGCCAGAGGGGCCAGGCCGGGCTTGGGGGACACAGGGACAGCCAGAGGGGCCAGGCCGGGCTGGGGGGACACAGGGACAGCCAGAGAGGACGGGCCGGGCTTGGGGGACACAGGGACA